CCAAAATCACATGTTTTGAATCCCTTTTTAAAATTCTTTACCATACAACCTAAGGGATCCGAAATCGTTGACTCTGACGCGCCCATACTTATCAATGGAACGTCGTTGACAACGAATACTATGCACGCGTTCTTATTCAACAGTCACACCCGTTTCCTCTGGCAACAGCACCACGTGGTACAGTTACCAGAGTGAAACGTACACAATAACACAATAATCACTCAGGGAATTCCCGTACACACACAGCTGTTACACCAGTCACTAAATAATCAATATTATGCCCTTTGGCGAAACTATACAGTCACCCACGCTATAATTCTCTATATATGAATTACCCGTCTATAACACACCCCAGTAACATCGTCTTTTACTAGTATCGGTTACAGTACGGTTAGCATAGGTCAAAGCACAATTTAAGGTCACAATACAATTATTAGTGGTTACGGTGTTAAACATGCAATAGACGACAATGATTAGTACTTATATACAGTGTCAGTAAATATACAGGGTTATGGTACCGTGCACTATGATACAGCAACACACTATTAACACTCTCGCTAGACGGCTGAGCTCGCGCTATCTAACAAGATATACACTTTACTAACAATCTTTAACACATTTACAATCCCAACTAAACTATTGGCCAGTACCTTGAATGGACTACCTAAAACTATATACACCCGTTTTGGTTAGCCACACTGCCCAAACACCACATATAGCGAACTAGAGGGCGAAATTTACAAAATTGCCCTTCTAGTCTATTTACTCTATCAAAAGTCTAGTGGGTTCCAAATTTACACGCCTTCCCACTTAGCCAAGATAGGTTGAGAGCTAGCGAACCGAATTTACACAGGCGCCGCTTAGTCTCCCGGTCCCTCCGACCTAGCGAACGTAATATACACCCTAGAACGCTAGTCTAGACAAGACACCGGTGTCCGGCTAGGGCTATTTACACAGGACCCCGCCTGACTAACCAGATCAAACGGTCTTACTAAAGAGCGTTCGATCGAGCGGTGCGCCTTCGCTCCTTCCCTCCGACAGAGGGGGCAGATTCCATACACAGATTTAAACCCCTTTTGGGCCTACCGCACAATCGGTATACCCCTAGTGGGTCTGCCGTCTAAAACAGCAGTTGTCTTACCTCCTCGTTCCTGAACCTGAGTTCACACTCATCGACGGGGACACCCCAGCACTTCTTACGTAGAGGCCGATGATCTCCTGGACAACAGACCAGTGGCGCCGAGACGAAGGGAGGTCCACGCAGAAGTTCAGGGGTGCAGCCGTAGAGAACGTGGGCAAAGATAGACCGTCTCACGCCTCTGCCTCTCAGCTACCGTTGAACGATGAGCTTCCCGGCCAATGCACCAAATGATACCGGAGAAACTGACGGAAGCAAAGCACAGAGAGATGGACACAGGTTTCTTCAGGAAGGAAGAGATTCTTTATTGGATCACCGATCGGGACTCAGAGGGACTAATGTCACCAAAAATACAGCAAGTTCTGAGCCCTGAACAATAGTGCAGGCTCCCTATATAGGCACATAACTCCTCCCATATTAAGCTCCACCCGCACATTCTCTTGACCAATCATTACAAATAAGAATTAACTTCCTGCTTGACCGCATGGCTTGTCCAGCACAATGGAGGAGGGGAATACTACATCCTGTATTCTTGCACATGCTCCGTACACTACTGATCGTATCTTGCCTCGTGCAACCAACTGATCGATACGTCAGCATATGCACGTACACATGCCACGTGGTAATCTCGGCCTACTAAATTTATTTTTACCGAGATTCCACCACAGTATTATTATTGGCCAACTCTGAATGAGGAACTACTGTTTGAAGGTACTATGCAAATACTGTAACTCTGCTTATGGTATTACTGCATTGCCTTATACTTCATGTTTTACCTCTGACCTGGATTTAGTTCTATAGCCTAGCATGGTTCCTCACACTAAGCTTGCAGTGTCTTCATTGTTATAACTGAAACATGTCATAAGCATGAATTAGTTGTGAGACTCTCTTTTCTGGAGAACAACAGCTTAGAGACACAACATCTACAGAGGGGATGGAAATCAGTGGGGATCGAAGCAGCCATTTGGAAACTTGCAGAGCTGAATTTTAAAAGTATTCCCTGGCTATAGGGTTGAATGAGAAATATGCAGCAGTGCAGGCAGCAACTCTGAAAATAGTCATGTGCAGTAAATGCAGACATGTTTATAAGTTCAATCTGAAGCTCACAGCCAGCAGAGCAGAAAGAGAATGTGGCAAACATTTTAGATGCATTGGAAGCTTACTTAAACTCTTCTAAAAAAAAAAAAAAAAAAAGGTTCTATATGAAAGGTATGTGTTTGGATGCTGCAAACAATAAGAGGGAGAATATCTTGATAACTCTGTTACATGCTTGAGAGAAAAAGCTGCAACTGAATATGGTACTCTGAGTGATGAATTCGTAAGGGACAAAATTGCTCTTGGTATAGCTAAGAGAACGTGAATTAACACAGCCATTGAAACGTGCTGTACAGCAGAGCTCATGGACAGACGTATTAAAGTTATGGAACAGGACAGACAGCAGAGTGACCGTATAAACATTGCAATCCAATGTGCACCCCGCAATGTGACAGTGGCCATAAAACTGGCAGTTAAGGCTCAACCAGTATGAGACTGAAAGACATATAGTGCCAGTGACCAAACCAACTGATTGGATAAGTAATTGTGATTGTAAAGAAGCCTGATAAGCTAAGAATATGCATACATCCTAAGTTCTTGAATCAGGAACTGAGGCGATCTCACTACGTCATGCCTACTTTCGAGGATGTATTGTACAAACTGCCTAAGGCACGTTTGAAGGAAAGACGAGACAGGGAGGATACGATAGAAACATTTAAATATGTAAAGGGAATCAACACAGTAAAGGAGGAGACTATATTTAAAAGAAGAAAAACTACCACAACAAGAGGACATAGTCTTAAATTAGAGGGACAAAGGTTTAAAAATAATATCAGAAAGTATTACTTTACTGAGAGGATAGTGGATGCATGGAATAGCCTTCCAACTGAAGTGGTAGAGGTTAACACAGTAAAGGAGTTTAAGCATACGTGGGATAGGCATAAGTCTATCCTAAGTATAAGATAAGGCTAGGGACTAATGAAAGTATTTAGAAAATTGGGCAGACTAGATGGGCCGAATGGTTCTTATCTGCCGTCACATTCTATGTTTCTATGTTCACGCTTGTTAATGCATGTGATGCTTTTTTACAGTGTAAATTGGACAAAGCAACATGACAACCTTTTGGACTCCCAGGGGCAGGAAAAGATGGCTCAAATTGCCTTTTGGAGTATCAGTTGCACCACAGGTGTATCAACGTAAGAAAAATTTATTTACACTATGGAATTAGAGGAATTGAACCAATAGCTGATGACATCCATGTGGTTGTGGGGATACAGATGGTAAAGCAGATGATGATGGCAAACTGCTGGAACTGATAAATTGTTGTAGGCAGGTGAAGCTAAGACTGTAATTCAAGGTCAAAGAGGTTCGCTTCCACAGACACATACTATCCTTGCAGGGTTTGAAGGCTGAACCTGAGAAAATCAGAGCCATACTTGATATGCCACAGCTGGCGACTGTGAAATGCCTGCAGCACTTCATAGGATTTGTTATCTGCCTAGCGAAATTCCTACTGCATCTCTCAGAGGTTTTTGGCCATTGAGAAGACTTCTAGACAAGGTTGCGGTTTGGCATTGGCTTCCTAAGCATGACAACGCGGTGCAGGACATCAAACATTTGGTCACAGATACACCTGTTTTCAGGGCCGGTCTGGGGAAAAAATTTGGCCCAGGCCTTTTTTTCCCAATCACAGCGGCCCCCTGAAAAGGGTTCAGGGCCAGAGATGGTGTGTTTTGTTATCACTAATGACAAGCACGCCCCCTCTTAAAGTGAGCATGTTGGTTCAATAAAGAGCTATAGCATGGGGAAAAAGGCCCTGTATTTGGTCTGCGCAGTGCAAGCAATTGTAATAACATAAATATATGTAAGTGGCGGACTATCTTACATGAAATTGGGATGGTTTATAGTGAATCCTTAAGGAATAAAATCCTACATTGTGATAAGCACAAGAAAAACACACTAGTGCAATATCGTTTGTATCCTGATATTTAAAGGAATAAGTATATGTAGATACACTCACAAGTAAGGAGCCAGTATGGTTTTGGCTCAAGATCTCAGCTTAGTGGAATTTTAGGATCCCACTCCCTCTTTGGTAAAGTGAAGTAGCTTGAAATATTCCTGCTTGTGGCTACAATAAAAATACTCCGAAGTGCTTTTGCATACGAAATGAGCACTTTATGGGCCATTTGGACAAAAAAAGCAATGTATAGCGGCTAGAATACAGGGATGCGTTCCAAAGAGAAGGAAATATTGCCATAGATATGTGAAGAGGAAATACCTTCAGTGGAATGCAAGGTTGTACGCCAGATGGTAAGAAATGGCGTGTTCCAACAGTGGGGCGCACAACCAGAACCGGAAACACAGAAGGCTGAAATCCAGGACACCTGAAAGCGGCAATTATGAATGGATTAAAAAGAGGATCAACTGGAAACCACACCACAGCAACTGAGGAATCCTCCAAGTGAGGCGAAACATGTCTCTGGTGTCTCCATAAGTGGGATACCAGAGGACAAAAGAGCCAGGAAAGCGTATTGTGCATGTGTTTGAAGCCTGCTTGTGGGATTGCGTGTGTGTAGAGTGAGCTGATTGTGGTGTGTTATTGTGTAAATAGGTTGATTTCATTCATGTTTGTGGTGTGCATATGGGCTGTTGTGTGTGTGTATAAGTGATGTAGTGATTATGTAGGGGTTGTAGAGAGTGTGTGTGTGTTTGCTTACAAGGAATGTAGTGTGTGCATAGGGGATCCAGAGTTTGTATGTCAGGAATGTAGTGTGTGTAGGTGGTGCAGTGTTTGTGTGTGTGTGTAGGGGATATAATGTGTGAAGGACACAGTGTGTGTGAGTGAGGGTGCTGTATGTGTGTGTAAGTTCTGTGAGTGTAAATGGGGTTGTATGTGAGTGTGAGTGTCCTGTGTGTATCTGAGGGTGCGGTGTGTGTGTGTGCTGTGCGCAAGGTGCAGTGTGTGAGCGTGCTGTGAGAGTTCTGTGTGTGTGAGGGTGCTGTCAGTGTGAGGATGCTATGAAATTCCTGTGTGTGTGTGTGTGTGAGGGTGCTGTGAGAGGCGTGTGTGTGTGTGAGGGTGCTGTGAGAGGCGTGTGTGGGTGGTGTGAGGGTGCTGTGAGAGGCGTGTGTGGGTGGTGTGTGGGTGGTGTGTGTGTGTGAGGGTGCTGTGAGTGCCCTGCCAGAAGAATTGCTTGGGATGCAATGAAAATCCCTCAAGAGAAATACAGGCTGCTCTGGAAAAAGACGGCGTGGTTGTTTCAAGGAGCACAATACGACAATACTTGAACAAAAATGAGCTGCGTGGTTGAGTTGCCAGAAAGAAGCCTTTACGACAACAAAGCCACAAAAAAAAACTTGGCTACAATATGCTCGACAACACCTTGACACGCCTCACAGCTTCTGGTACAATGTCATTTGAAGTGACAAGACCAAAATAGAGCTGTATAGTTACAACCATAAGCGCTATGTTTGGAGAGGGGTCAACAAGGCCTATAATGAAAAGAGTACCCTCTCCACTATGAAGCATTATGGTGGCTCACTGATGTTGGGGGGGGGGAGCTCTAAAGGCATTGGGAATATTGTGAAAATTTATGGCAAGATGAATGCAGCATGTTATAAGAAAATACTGGCAGACAATTTGCATTATTCTGCACGACGGCTGTGCATGGGACTCTTTGACTTTCCAGCATGACAATGACCCCAAGCACAAGGCCAAGTTGACCCTCCTGTGGTTACAGCAGAAAAAGGTAAAGGTTCGGGAGTGGCCATCACAGTCTCCTGACCTTAATATCATTGAGCCACTCTGGGGAGATCTCAAACATGGGATTAATGCAAGATGACCAAAGACTTTGCATGACATGGAGGCATTTTGCCAAGACGAATGGGCAGCTATACCACCTGCAAGAATTAGGGGCCTCATAGACAACTATTGCAAAAGACTGCATGCTGTCATTGATGCTAAAGAGGGCAATATGCAGTATTAAGAACTAAGAGTATGTAGACTTTCGAACAGGGGTTGTTTCATTTTTTTTCTTTGTTGCCATGTTTTGTTTTATGATTGTGCCATTCTGTTATAACCTAAAGTTGAAAATGAATCGCATAAGAAATAAAATAAATTATGGCCTGCACACTCATGTTTTCTTTAAAATGGTACATATATTACCATATATGCAAACTTGTGAGAACAACTGTATACCAGCTAGTTCTTCTGTGTCAAACACACCAGCCAAGAAAGAGTGCAGCACCTTATCAACACATTCTGGAGCGGAACATCTCCCCCTAGGCAAAATTCTTGTTGCACTGTGTGTAGTGGTAGAGTTTCAAGACCAACAGACTAAATCTGTAGTGTATTTACCAGCAGCATAGTATGTTATAGTCAAAACTGTTCAGTATCTGTTCTAGGTTAAGTGTTGCTGACTGCCTCAATGAATATTTTTGTTCGGTATTTACAGATGAAAATTAAGGAAAGGGACCTCCGTTAAGAAAAAGGACAAATTAGTCATTTATTACACGTGAGTTTACAGAGGAAGAGGTTCTATTTCAACTGTCAAAAGTAAAGACTTCAATGGGACCTGATGGAATACACCCAAAGCTGTTAAAAGAGCTTTGTGGTGTACTAGCAAAAACATTTACAGATTTATTTAACCAATCATTGTTAACAGGAGTAGTCCCAGAAGATTGGAAGTTAGCGAATGTTGTGCCCATTCACAAGAAAGGTAATAGGGAGGAGTCGGGCAACTATAGGCCAGTAAGCCTTACTTCAGTAGTAGGGAAAGTGATGGAAACCATGTTAAAGGATAGGATTGTTGAACATCTATAAACACATGGATTTCAAGATCAGAGACAACATGGGTTTACTTCAGGGAGATCATGCCAAACTAATCTTACAGATTTTGTTGATTGGGTAACTAAAATTATAGATCAAGGTGGTGCAGTAGACATTGCTTACCTAGATTTCAGTAAGGCTTTTGACACTGTTGCACATAGAAGGCTTATCAATAAACTGCAATCTTTAAGTTTGGATTCCAATATTGTTGAATGGGTAAGGCAGTGGCTGAGTGATAGGCAACAGAGGGTTGTAGTCAATGGAGTATTTTCAAAGCTTGGGCTTGTCACCAGTGTAATACCTCAGGGATCTGTACTTGGACCCATTCTCTTTAATATTTTTATTAGTGATATTGCAGAAGGTCTTGATGGTAAGTGTAACGGACCGTTTTGCACAAAAGGGAAAAAAACCGCTTAGACGATAATCCCCTTTCAGAGACAGGCACAGCTACTGTAGAATCACCAAAACTCACGAACTGAATACAAGTGAATGCTCCAAACTCCCGAACGGCATACAAGGGAATGCTCCAAACACTCGAACTGCATACAAGGGAATGGTCCAAACACTCGAACTGCATACAAGTGAATGCTCCAAACTCTCGAACTGCATACAAGTGAATGCTCCAAACTCTCGAACTGCATACAAGTGAATGCTCCAAACTCCCGAACGGCATACAAGGGAATAAGGTAGCACTCCAAATACACGAACAGGAACCATACGAATTGCTGCTACCAGACGAACAGGAAAAGCTCCCAAGCGGCTTACACTCCTGGCAATCAGTCCTTAGCAGCATACAGTAAATCCCCCCAAAGACGAGACAAGGCTCCGTGTTGAGGGTCAAGCAGTGGTCTGTTTAATGAGGGCTACCTGCCCAGTATTTATGCAGGTCTCCCACCTGGTGGACACTCCCCTAGGGGACCAAATGGGAGACTGTGACAAGGGACAGACAAGCAGACAAATAGGACACACAGTCACAGTATTTCCCACAATGCATCCTGGCTTCCTCCCCTCTGCCTTGGGAGATAATTGGGAAGTAACTCAATTATCTCCCAAGACAAAGGCAAAACTCCATTACACACGTGGGGACACAAAACCAGCATTATACTTTAAAATACATAAAGTAACATTTATTCCACAAAACACAGACATGTAACATATCCCCAGATAGCTCAGGTCTGAGTGCACATTATTAGGTGAATGGCACTCAGACCACACGAATACAGTTTAATCGCCATGGAGCCAAAGTCTTTATAGTCAGTTTCATACGAATGGGCTCCATGGGATTCCTATCTGGGGTATAACATATTTGAACAAAACTACCGAACACCGGGCCGTTCGTGCATTTCCACCGAACAAGAAGGGAGGTCGGCGGCTTCAGCGGTGTTCGCATAAAACTGTGTCCGATTTTAGTTCCATGAAAATAGAGGCGAACACCGCTGTGCATTCGTATGTTTAAAATGGCCGCGACCTCGTGTTCGGGATACGAATGGCGGCCACCCAGCATTCATCAATTAAGCTGCGGTTAACCGCAGCTTCAGGGAGGTTAATTGCCGGCACACTCCAGCTCCCAGGTGGTCCAGTCATTCGTACGGTTGTTCGGTAGATTGAAACTACCGAACAACCGGCAGAAAAGCACGAATACAGCTTTTCTGCAGGCAAAATAAAGTCTTTTAAAAGGGGGCCATAGTCCAAAGGCAGCAGGCGAGCAACCAGGCTTCTCCAATGCAATGTGGCGAGATTGGTCTCGTCACAGTAAGGTATGTCTTTTTGCTGATGATACTAAGATATGTAACCGGGTTGATGTTCCAGGAGGGATAAGCCAAATGACAAATGATTTAGGTAAACTAGAAAAATGGTCAGAGTTGTGGCAACTGACAATGTGGATAAGTGCAAGATAATGCATCTTGGATGTAAAAACCCAAGGGCAGAGTACAGAATATTTCATAGAGTCCTAACCTCAACATCTGAGGAAAGGGATTTAGAGGTGATTATTTCTGATGACTTAAAGGTAGGCAGACCATGTAATAGTGCAGCAGGAAATGCTAGCAGAATGCTTGGTTGTATAGGGAGAGGTATTAGCAGTAGAAAGAGGGAAGTGCTCATGCCATTGTATAGAACACTGAGACCTCACTTGGAGTATTGTACGCAGTACTGGAGACCATATCTTCAGAAGGATATTGATACCTTAGAGAGAGTTCAGAGAAGGGCTACTAAACTGGTTCATGGATTGCAGGATAAAACATACCAGGAAAGGTTAAAGGATCTTAACATGTATAGCTTGGAGGAAAGACAGGGGGGATATGATAGAAACATTTAAATACATAAAGGGAATCAACACAGTAAAGTAGGAGACTATATTTAAAAGAAGAAAAACTACCACAACAAGAGGACATAGTCTTAAATTAGAGGGACAAAGGTTTAAAAAAAAATATCAGGAAGTATTACCTTACTGAGAGGGTAGTGGATGCATGGAATAGTCCTCCAGCTGAAGTGGTAGAGGTTAACACAGTAAAGGAGTTTAAGCATGCGTGGGATAGGCATAAGGCTATCCTAACTATAAGATAAGGCCAGGGACTAATGAAAGTATTTAGAAAATTGGGCAGACTAGATGGGCCGAATGGTTCTTATCTGCCGTCACATTTTATGTTTCTATGTTGCAATGTTTGGATTGAATGTAAAAATAGGGAGATGTTTGGAGTTATTGTGCAAATACTGTAACTCTGTTTATGGTAATACTGCCTTGCCTTAAACTAACCTGGATGTAGTTCTATAGTCTAACATGGTTTCTCACACACTATAAGCTTGCAGTGTATTCATTGTTATAACTGAAATAATGACCACAATCAAAGTCTCTCTATAGTCACTCGTCCTCCTGTAATTAAACAACCAGGGTCATATTTTGGTGTAGATCAAATGCCAGACACTGTGTTGGCCTGGTGCTTATCTCTGAAAGCACTGGATTTAATACTGCACATAGAGAAGCATTGGATTGGTGGATTGTGGCAATTAGTACTGTGTCATTAATGAGAATCTTCTAAAAGAAAAGTACTAGACAAAAGTCATCTAGTTTGATGATGGTCATGTAGAAGGATCAGCATGCAGTGAGGAGACTGTTAAAGGCAGTGGTGTATCCTGGTTTTGTGCTTCCCTACGAAGGACAAAACTCAGGCGCCACCCCCACCCAACCATTCCCCTCTGCCCTGCCTTCTAAATACACACACACACACACACATTCACTGACCGATACGCATACACTCGCTAACAGAAACACACACTTGCTAACAGAAACACACACTCACTAACAGACACACACACTCACTAACAGACACACACACTCACTCACTAAAAGATACACACACACTTACAGACACATACACTCACTCACTAAAAGATACACACACACTTACAGACACACACACACACACACTTACTAACAGACACACACATTCAGACACGCACACACACATTAAATATATGGTGATAGATAAATATTTACTGTGTTCAATAAAATCTGTCTAGCCTCAGCCACGTGCAAAAGAGCTCTGTAAAATATTCATGCAATTAAAGAAATACATACAGAAATATGGGTAACTTGTGAGGAATAAAATTTATTAAATGCATATCAAAATATATATTTTTTTTATTAAACACTAATCTGAACACAATCATATAAAACGTGTTTAAACACAAATAACTTAAAAAAGAACATAGGGGTGCATAGAACAATACCGAAACAGTAATAATACAGTACATGTAATAAAACATTTAGAAGGAATATATAATAATTGAGTGTTTTATGCTTCTGGCAGGCCTCCTGTGTGGTCTTCCCTGTAGGATCAGCTCTGGCATGTTGTCGTTCTCTCTTACTAGAAAAGAAGATGCAGCATTGCTTCTGGACTTTACAATTTTTTTTTGAAGATACCAGGTCCTCCTAAACCTGTCAGTACAAGTTTTTTTGGAAACTTCAATATTGATGTCGATATAGCAACTGTCATGTTATACGCCAAAGAGTAAAGAATGTCTTAAATAATGTATACCTCTTAAGTGGGTTAAACACAACAAGGCAAAAGGACAAATTGGAATGGACCAGGTACACCAACATTATAATAACTTTACAGTCCATGTCCAAATTTGAGATGAAGTGAGAAATGAAGCTCAATCCAAACAGGACATTTATTTACCAACTGCAGATGGCAGTGAACTTCTGGGCTTTGATATGCCAGCTCCATCAACACATTGCTAAAAACCATTGACTTGATAATAAAATTGAGTATAAATGGTCTGTGTAAGGCAAAGTGGAGCTGGATAAATCACAGAAGGGGAGCTATCAGAGAATTTGAGTAGGAGGAACATAATTTGGATTTAGAGAGTCAAAGAACCGAAGGATGTGCAATTTTTACCATGGCATGCAGATGCCCAGATATGGCAAGTGGCCTATTAGAAGATATCACCCGTTCAAAAGACAGAAAAATTGATCATTGGGAAGTCTATAAATGGAGCCAAGGTGGGCTAGATCAAACAATGGTGAATGATAGGACAATGTATCCTTCTGGTAAGGGTGGAAGAAGAAAGGGATAGCTGATGGCAGAGAAGGCTTTCACTACAAAAGAAAACAGGGTACAGAAAAGGAGTCTATTTTCCCCAAAACGACGCCAGAAGAACTTGATAAAAAGCTGGCTGCATACACAATAAATGTTGAAAGCTATAAAGTTGGACATTGACACCCCCAGTTTAGAAAGCTCCACTGATGAAAACATAGATGTTGGTGTGCTAAGTGTGGAATTCCCTCTGGTTACGGGGGAGAATGGCAAAACATCAAACCGCAAAAGTCATCCTAAGGAACAGCATTATGGCAGAAAATAAATCATATTAAATATGTAACATTAAAGGGACACTGCACGCTCCCCACAGAGATGCATTGATTCAAGAATGTGAGTAAAAACACCTTTCCCATGTGAACGGAGGAGTCATCTAAATAGTAAAACTCTAGTTTCAGGAATACATGCAACTTAAGAGTGCAGCAGGTACACCAACATTAAAATGGCTTTAAGGTCAGTTGAGATGGTGCTCAATGAAGCTCTTTACCAACTGCGAATGACACTGAATGGAAAATAAGCACTTCAGGATTTGTGTTGAATTTTTTTTAAATATTATAATATATTTTAATATAATTATATAATATCTTTTAATACAATCTATATTATTATTTTTTTTAATATAATATCTGTTATTATAGGATGATTTGAAAGGGCTTACCTATAAGACCATGTATGTAGAACATAATTTTGTGTAAATAAAATATTTTTAAAAAGTGGAGAAATTGTTCAGAAATAGCATTTTGCAGTTTTTGTGACATTAAAAGGAAAAACGACTCCGTGAAAGGACCTTCCACACATACACATCTCTGCATTAATTTATACATACACAATAACATGATACACAAATACACCCCCGGTGCGTACATATTGATAATTCACTCAGCACACAGGTCAACTCCTATTTTTGTAGGAGTAAATGGAACAGAGAACCCTTTTCTCCATGTCTTAAGCCAATAAGGGTTCACATTGTAGATGCCAATGCACAGTGGGTGATATTTATTAAAGTGATCTTACATGCCTGTTTTCTTTCTAGTAAATTTCACCAGTTATTGTAGAAACATCCATTTTATAAGACCGCCAAATTTACAGTGGTAGGACAAAAAGAAGTGGAACAGAAGACTTTTCGGTCTTTAAAAATTATCAATCCTTTGTGTCACTGAAAAAAGTAGTACATGTTCAAAAAGGACCGTTGTGGTGCAAAGTAACAGATTTAATAAATGACATAAACAATTTGCAGAAAATTTAATGTAAACGTTTCAGTATCCCTTTGATAAATCTCCATCACAGTGTGTATTCAAGTAATATGGGTAATATGACTGAGACTGGGAATGAGTGAATCATGTTGCTAGGGAAATAAGTTTACGACAGTGTTGCAGCCTAACACAACTGGAACTATAGGGTTGTTGCGATTGGAGGATTATAGTGTCAAGGACTTTGGGATAGCAATAATGATAAAATTATGGAGCCCGACGCTGGAGAAAGGTAAGATTTTAACCCCTTCCTCCCGCTTCAGCCCAGTGGGAGGGGGACCTATTAATCCTATAGTGCCAGAAAAACGAGTTTGTTTTCCTGGCACTATAGTGGGCCTTTAACGCCTGTACAAACAAAACAGAAGGGCATGCAAATTATGATCCCAAAGGATAACAATAAAAGCCATCTGTAGTTAAACCACCATTCCTCTTTTAGATAATTGCACTAAAATGTACGCTCTCATATCTAATTCTCCAGGGTTGAAGAGATTTAGTAACACCTTATTTAACTGAGCATTGAGTTAGCTTGCTTGTCTTTTTTTATCCAATAACTGAAATAAGAAGCACTTTAAGATTTATGTTGAATTTTTTTGGCTATCTAGAAGAGTAAAAGGTAATCACATTTTAAAGAATTTAAAAGATTTAAAAATAGTTGTGCAATGCATTCCCATTGTAAGAGCAAATACAAAATTATTGTAATTAATCTTTCAACTCGGACAAGGAGAGATTGTTTTTTCTCTTGGGATCACCACAAGGTGAACGTTTTCATCATTGTTTCCTCCATTTGTGGATTACTTTCAGACTGTGTAGTAAACTCCCTAGTAAGAAATGTCGCATGTACCTGTATCAAAAACAAACAACCTAAAATCCTATTGGTTTCAGTTAAGAAGAAAAAATTAGTGTTCTTTTAATATAAAATGTATTGTGTGCAAGCGAAAACAATATACATTCGTAAAATACTTTACATACAAATAAAACACTAACCAGTGTTCCTAAACCTAGAGTTGTAGCAAATTAAAATCTGAATGGTAACATAAAGGTTATTATTATTATTATTGCCATTTATATAGCGCCAACAGATTCCGTAGAGCTTTACAATATTATGAGGGGGGGATGTAACTATAAATAGGACAATTACAAGAAAACTTACAGGAACAATAGGTTGAAGAGGACCCTGCTCAAACGAGCTTACAGTCTATAGAAGGTGGGGTATAAGACACGTTAGGACAGGAAATATCAATCAAATAGGGTGGGAGTGAAGCACTGCCCTATAGGAGAGAGCAAGAGACAGGTATGTAAGGTAGAGGTTACTCTGAGAGGCCATAAGCTTTCCTGAAGAGATGGGTTTTAAGGCCCTTATTAAATGGTTGAAGACTAGGGGAGAGTCTGATGGTGGTAGGGAGGCTATTCCATAGGAAAGGAGCAGTCCGTGAGAGGTCCTGCAAGCGCGAGTTGGCCGTACGGGTGCGAGCAGAGGTCAGGAGGTGGTCACAGGAAGAGTGGAGGGAATGAGGAGGGGCATACCTATGGATCAGTGAAGAGATATGAGGGGCTAGAATTGTTCAGTGCTTTAAATGTATGGGTTAGCACTTTGAATTGACTCCTATAGGACACAGGGAGCCAATGTAAGGACTGGCAGACGGGTGAGGTGTGAGAGGACCGACTAGAGAGGGAAAAAATATATCAAATATAAAAGTAAGGTTAAGGCAATTAGAAAAAAAATGTAGTGTCTAGCTACATTCTCGGATTAATTTTGCAAGCTGGATATTTATTCACTACCATGCATGGTTTACAACCATATCAAGTGTGTATTATAAAGAATTCAAAAAGATTTTAGGCCAGTATAGTAAGTTTGTTTTCATTTAGTCTATTTTGGTCTACAATTTGCAATCCAATTGGAATTCCTGAAAATGCACAGTTTGGTGAATAAACTGTTATGACTTATGTGAATGTGATTGTACTGAATCAGAACGAGCAAGCGAGCGGATCACGGACACCGTGGACACACAAGGAATCCCGATAACGGACTGTAGTAAGCTATACTGCAGCTGAATAATTTCTGGTTAGTTCTATTAAAGGCTTGCCAAGCAGTTCTGGTTCTGTTATTTCTTTTTAAAATGATGGATGGAATTAAAGATTAAAAGCAAAGTCCATGTTATGGACGTCTGTCTATCTGAATAAAGTGGATGTTTGAGATCCTGCTCTCTCTACGACCTGATTCCCTGGGACCAGGAAATTTGTGTGGCACTGAGACAACCACATTTTGTGAGTATACTCCATTTGGGAGACTTTAAAACAATCTTTATTTTCTATCGCTTTAGATATTCTGCACTATGTATGTGTTTTTGTTTTAAGGTTACATGAGGAAGATAACTAATATTGCTAGGAGTGAAATAGTTTTGCATAATTATACAAATATTTATCCGCACCATTTTATTGCACCTGCATCACTTGGATTAGTGCTTACACTATTGATGGCTGCCGCACTTTAGATCTTTGTAAAACTAGTACTTTTTTTTTATGTGGATTAAACACCGTTCATTGCATGTGGCGCCTATATATAACATATAAATTGTTCTTTTTGGAACCTTGAGTTGTAGCAAACTAAAATCTGAATGGTAAAATTAACTTTAAAATGGGTTACTAGTCCTGTAAACTACATTCACAGGTTGGTTATTTTAACCTTAATTTTGCAAACCGAGTATTTATTCACTGCATATCATGCGTGTATTGTGAGGAATTCTACACAGATTTTACCAGTGTTCCTAAACCATTACCAAGTTTGGTCAGTTTGACTGCTATACATAGGGAGAGGCAATGCCTCCTTTTCCTCATGTATTTTCATGAAAACTATAGCAACCACAGGGAATTGGAGATTTAGACACAGCGATCATGTAGAAGCAAATTAAATAAAGATTATGTTTGGGGAAGGAGCACATTAAACTGTTTAACTATAATAAACTTATAGTCATAGTGGATTATGCTCCTTATAACAAACACTACATAACCACTAGCTCTGATGTACAGTTATGAGGCATTTCAAGTTTTATAGACCAAAATATTTATTTATGGTTTTGAATGCTTGAATGCTGGTTAAAGAGGTTGGTTATGGCAATGGGTTAAAGACCAGGACACATCTGCATCAAGTAAGGTTAAACCAACTCTGGAGAGCACAGACCTGGAATATTTGTCTAAATTATATATGTATTAAGGCCTTTTGGCCTGTAATTGTGGGAGGGGCGTATGACTCACCTTCTCCCTACTTCTCCCTTACCTGGCTCCATACCGTTCGAGGTCAGTGCTGCATCTGAATCCACTTCCGGTTCACGTGCGGCGCCATCTTGCTTTTTCAAAAAACCAGCGGTTTCGTGTTGGTGTAGCTGTGTCCAGGAATCCGCACAAATCAGGTCTTCCGCCCATCCAGCCACACACACACCCGGTGGTCCGTCGCAGATTAAGTCCACAGGACTGCAAAATCGTAAGTCCGTCGCCCGGATCATTTCCCACGGCGTCGCGATTTAAAACGGCCTTACTTTACGGCCACACGCTTTACGGCCAAGTCACAGGCATAGTTAACCCGTTTGCTTCCGGCATGATCGCTGTATACTGTGCTGACTGACGGTTCGGTTTTGTATTAACTAAACTTCTTGTCTTCTGCATATCTGTATCTATAGCTGTTTTATGTTACCATTGGTATTTATTTATGCAATTATTGGAGCAAATCCCCCCCCCCTTTTTTTTTTTACTACAGTTAAATAAGTATTTGTTTTAGGTTATGGTTTCATTCTATTAACAGATATGGCATTAGTTATATTGGAATTTCTTCATGTTACATATATATATATATATATATATGGATTTATGCTTAAACAAGCCTTTTACAATATTTATAAAATAGCTCATGTTGGACTCATGTTATTCATTATGTTTTAGAAAATTTACGCTTCTATCACACCATGTACACACGTTTTCTTACATGGCACTTATAAATTCTGACTTTTTCTTT